ATGGAGTCCCAGGGACCCACCATCCTTCACTTCCTGAATGTTTATAACGATAAACATATCGGAAGTGAAGGATGACCCATACGTAGAAGGATTTCCTTCGTTATTCGATACACAAAAAATTTGATTAACAAAACACCACAATCTCTAAATTTCACGATATCAGCTTAAGTAATTGGAATGAAGAATTGTCCAGACAACGTTGCCAACATATACCTTGGTGAAATGAAAAGAAACATGCCATGGTCGGTCTGAGGCAGTCTGAGCAAATACTTTTATAGATAGATTTCCCATCCAAACGATTTAAATGCTTTAGATTGTAGGTTTAAATAACCATAGTGTTTAATTTGTCTGGCGACCAGTGAAAGTATGTGTTTGTACCTCCATAGATGAAAAATGCCATAGAAATATAAGTTCATGGACCAGGCCAATTTAGTTTTGCATTCAGTGTATCCATTTTCGAAAATATCAGACGTGTAACACGTTGTCTCGCAGAATTTATTGCATCGACGTGATGCTATAGATAGATGTATAATCTCACATTCATTAACGATTTTTTTGTTTTTTGATTCGATGACACGAAAACGAGATAATAGAATTTCACCTACGACACTACTGTAAGTAAAAGTGCTTGCCACTTATGTTAATGTAAGTTGAATTTTACGCACAGCGTGTCTCACTCAACTATGCCAGCTGTGAACAAGGATAGACATTATATAGATACGAAATAAGAAATTCACGTTAAATGTGGTCGTAAGTGAAGTAGGTATAGCAAATTTTAAAACATTCTGGTTTTGAGGTAAGCTTTTTCGGAAAAAAAGGATTAACTTATCAACTTCCGAATAAAAACAATTCAGATGAATCAATGTTACATTTCTTCCACATAAAGAATATTTGCACTCAAAATCTACAGAATATCTAAAGATTGAAATGACAATGAGATGGATATTATGATCATGATAGTTATAAATAAAAAACAATAAAATAAAAATAGATCATTCGGTTTGACTCTAGACGAATAAATCAACAGTTAAATTAACACGATGCATAATAACGCTATTCTAAGTAATATCAATAATTTGGCTTTGTAGTTAGTCGCAAGTTAGTATTCATTGTAACACTCAGAAGTCATGCAATAAGTTAAACGATTTAGTTATTTTGATAATTTACTGAGAATATGTGCTGAGATGCTGTGATCTTAGTTACCTACTGATTTATAAAAAAAATCCATCAAAACTAGTGCCGCTTTGTCCATTAAGGAAACTTTCCTTCTCCTGACTGGAACGAGTATAATTTGATTTATGCTTCTTAGTGAAGCTTTTTTATTTGTTAGCTCGGATATTTTATGGTGCAATGTCTCCCTTGTAGGGAGCAAAATTCGGCGGGGACAAAATGAATTTCAAAGGCACGGTGCCGGAATCCAAATGAAAGGGGCAACAAGAAAAAAGTACATATATTATAACATACTTTGTTAAAAATTTTGTAATTATTATTCATGTTTTTTTTTGTCGAAACGTCTTTACCTTTACGTGCTCTAAGCTTCTCTCCCTCGCTCCTCATACGGAAAGTGTCAGATTTAAAACGACGGACAATATTGTTATAAACCCGCCACTCGTACTTTTTGATTGCCCCCTGTAACTACAGTTAAAAAAAAAGCCAGAAAATTCGACTATTTTCAAGATGAACTGAATCACCAAAAATTCGACCGTGTTAGAGAAGGACGCACATAACTATAAAAGCCCCGGTGCGCACCGCGTAAGAATCAGTTCTGATTGACGTACGACAAGTGCATTAAACTGTAAAGTCCAGGAACTAAATAACCACATTCGAAAATAATCGTGCCGTATAAGCTTTATTTGGAGTAGTCCGGAGTGTAAAGTATTGTTAAATTTCGTGTGATTTTTATGTTATTGTGTTTAATAAAATTCGGTAAAGTTCGAAAAAGTAGTCTCACTTATCTGCGAACCCGTATAAGTAACAATATGTATTTGAGAATATAAATCAAAACGACTTTGTCACAGAACATATCACCTCTAGAAAAGTATCTGCAATGGTATGTACCGGTTATGAATTACGGCGCCCTCGTTGACTGAAAACCCAACTAATCGAGTATTCTTGACAAAAAAAAGGCGAATTGATTTTTTTCATATATTTTTATTATTTTTGTATAATTTTTAATCTTCAACTGCATTTGGCTTGCTGACTCCTCTTAGCTCTTTTCGCCTCATTTTTTTAAAAAGTATGACAGGAAGTGTCCGATGTCGAACATAGTGCAAAAAGAGTTAGTAAGTTAGCAAGAGACACGCAGTTATAGGTAGATCGCAAAGTAAATACGAATAATAAATACAAATACGAACGAAGCGAAACAAACGAATAAATACAAAAAAATACGAACAAAAATTAGGTTTTTTTTCAACCAAAACTTTTTGAATTTTCACTTTACCGCGCGTGGGGACCATGGTTTACAACAACATAATTTAAAAATTCAAATTTTGACTTTTAAAATGACAAAATAAATGACAAAACCAACCAACACAAATCACTGTCCACACCACAGATACCTGTAAATTTCTCTTATCTCCCGACAGTGTCGCCATCGTTGAATGAAAACCTAACTAAAAACCTTTGTCGCGATTCTTCCATTTGAGATATTTTTCTATAGGTGATATGTTCTGTGGACTTTGTCAAAAAATTAAATTCTAGAATTTCTAGATCCTATGCCTTCTTCTGGTCTTGATGGTTTAGTGCGAACTTTTACTTCTTCGAGGTTAATAAAAATGACATTACCGGCAATAGAAATCGGAAAAATCACAAACTTTTTATGGCATGGAATGAATGATAGGGATGTGCAAATCGGCTACCAAGATCATGTGACTTAACCTGTCAAAGACCCGAAAGAGACATTTCAATGCAACATTGCTGAAATTTCCCAGAATCATTAATTATGAACAGTTTCATGAAAGCCAACATGTTCTCACATAATTTCTATGTCTGTAATTTCAAATAGAGCAAAAACTTTTTTCAAATAAAAACTGGGATGTTAAAAAATTGAAATGTGAGTTAATTTCGGGGCAAACTTCAATTGGTCCCAATTCAAAGCAAACATATAAAATTATTGGATATTCACAAATTGCATTAGTGCACAGGGATAAAATCACTCGTTCTCATTAAAATTGGAAAATTTACGATCTGTTAACTTGCTTCTGCCAGACTATTTTGTAACTTTGCTTTGTGCCGTTTCGAAATAAATTGAAATAATTTCAGTCACTCAGCTCTGGCTTTTACTGTTACTTGAATTTTTGAAGTCTTTTCAGGATTTCTAAATGAATTTGTTTTTTAATTATAAATTTATCAAGATTTTTTTTGGTAACTAAGATCACAAGTACAATACACGTTCCACATGTAGAACAAAGCGGATTAATAATCAAAATAGAAATTAGCGAGTAATGGTTAGTAATGAAATTAGAGCAGTTAATATCCACAACAAATAGACTGCACATAAATCGTAACAAAACGTGGACAAACGCATACGCATTTCCAGAAAAAAAAAAGAAAATAAAAACTAATACAATACCATGTCATTGTACACTTCTTCGGACATTTTCTGAAAAACGAACAACATTTCAACGTTTCAAAAAATATCACTTTTTTAATAGTTTTAGTTAAAATATTGCACCAAAACATTTGTTTTTACATTGAAGATAAAGTGAGATGTTTTTGATGCAATATTTTTTCATAAAGTTTACTACGATCAATACGTTTTGATTGCAATACCTCAATAAACAACTTGTTAATTGCTAGAGATGGAATCTCAAATTAAAAGCTAATCTAGTTGTGAAAAGGTTCCAGAATTATTTAAGAAAAGTTGTCCAAAGTGTTTTTCAAATATTTTCCTTGCAAAATAAAAGTACATAATATGTATATTCTTTGAAATACAAAACAAGCAATTTAAAACATTTCAAAATAACAAAGAATTTTCTTAGTAACTACTGGTTGCAAACAAAACGTACTAACTTGTTAATTTTAACACAGTGCTGTCACAAAAATAATTGTGTTAAAATGTTATCTAAATAATCAACACAATAATAGTAATAATATACACTACCAAACCAAGGAAATAACTATCTAACATAGCCCTCAATGTCTGACGTTTCGTCACGTGGAAATTATATCATCAGACACTATATTGATGGGCTATATATTTACAGGAATAACAAACCATTCACCACACGCAAACCATATAAGGGTTAAAAAAAAGCAACAGAAAAATATACAATAAATAAATATGAAGGAAGAGAAGGATAAACAAAAACGTAAATGGGGAAAAAATAAAATGGAATAAAAGCAAAATAAAATTTAACAATAAATACAGTTGTTCCATCATAGGTTTAAAAGCTGAATATTTTGAGAAAAGAATCAATTTTATTGACTGATCAATTTGTACATACAAAAGCGTAAATTGATTCGAGTACATTGATTCTTTTTTGAGTTTTCTTTATTATTTATTGAATTAATTCACACTATTTAAAAATTGAAACACATTATTTGCAAACATTACGTGACTGGTCTTTTAATTGGATATTTAAAAATAACGTTTGCAAAAAATATTTGAAAACTTCACTCTCAAACTTTTTTTAAATATCGGAAACTTACAAAAAGATTCGAAATACAGTGAATAGTGTGCATGGCTTTCTTTCGTTTATCTTCCTAAAAGGATACAGGAAAGGCGTTAGATTTAAAACATGACGTTTCAAAATCTGAATGAATACGAATAAAATGCATATAAAGGTTTAAAGAAGGAATAATGAAGGCCCAGAAAAAGATACGAGATTTTGAAACTCCCTATATGAAAATATTTCTTTAGTAGAAAACCTTCAAAACACTTACTTATCAACATTCATCCCCACCACGTTTTGATGCATTTCTCACTGCATCACATTCAATCTTCACCATTCAATCATGTTTTACCAATTCAAACCGTTATCTACTAAAATAATTCTTACCTCTCTGATAGTGAGGGTGTGCGATACCATCTGGATGTTATTCTGGCTCTGACTATTCGGTAAGTTTTCGCTGGATCTTGAACGAACCAGTTGTTTGGACCCGTGCATTACCTGACGACTTTTCAACAACATCTCAGTCTTGATGAATACTCGCGAGATGTACGACGAGCTTAGGCCCCTTATACCAAAGGCAACCTAAAACAATGAGATACTTTTGTTTAGCATTTTTAATACATACTAGGTGGGCTAAATTTATTGTTTATAATGATTTTCAGAACAAAGTTGAAGCAAACTTTCACAAAGGTATAGGTTGTTGGTAAGGGGTTTTCATTCGGGCTTAATGGCCGTCGTAAGTTGGAATTTCTTCCTGACGTTTCGCCAACACGCGTGGCTAGCATCTTCAGAGGTGCTTCCATGTCCGATTCTGGTAGCAGACTGACGCGTTCCTGACCGTAAGTTGTATTTATGTGTGAGTGGCTGTGATGGGGGAGGGGCGGGGCTTCGCAGCATGTAGCTAATCTCAACCTTCTCTGTACTCAATGGGATCTTTCTTGAGGATCGGGTTCCAGATTTGATCAAGTTTTAGTGTTTCTTCTTTCCTGTTGAAGTTCTCCGTATAATTGTGGATTTCTATAGCTTCACGTACAAGACGATTGTGGTATCCGGAAGTCGGTGCAAGAAGCTTGACCTCACCAAAGAGTATTTCATGATTCACTTAGCGCATGTTCCGCAACTGCCGATTAGTTAGACGACGCAATTCACACTTATTGGCGAATCTAACGTTTCTCTCTCGCTGCCGTGACACTAACATCGTACCAGCGTTCTTGCAGATTAGGCTCCCCTTCAAGACACCCCAAGCACATCGCATCTACTCCAGAACTGAAAAAGCATTTCTCCGAGAGCGAATCCACAAAACAAGGAAGGATCTGGCTGAAGTAGATAGAGAACTACTTCACCTACATCTGACGCTCAGCAACAAATTACAGGCAAAGGATTGGAACAAAATTGATACCATCTCATACTCAAGTATGGATAATGAGCAAAACCGGAGTAAAAAAGCTCAGATTCGAAAATACGAGAAGTTCTGTAAGAAACAAATCCGAAATTCTCCAACACCTGAAAAATCCAGACTGGTCATCAATCTCACGGATCGAGTCCTTACCGAAGAGGAAACAGCCGTCTTGGCAAAAGGCGGTAATTTCGCAATCACTCCGCAACACCTGCCAATGGAGGAGATTCTAGCCAGCACTGAAGCAGCCATCAGAGCACTACCTGATGTGGAAGCGGAAGAAATCCGTATTGAGACGGCCAACATTTTACGAAAGGCTCGACCACCAACCAGTAACCTCTTTAAGAAGGAACTAATTCTAATTAGGAACCTGAATTCAGCGGAAGATATGATCATCCTACCTGCGGATAAGGGCAACGCAACTATCCTGTTAAGAACTGAAGACTACAACCGGAAAATTCAGGAACTCCCTAATCCACCTACCTACCGAAAGCTAAAGAAGGATCCCACACAAGCCACACTCCGGAATACCAACAAACTGATAAGGTCATCTACCTTAACAGACGCGGTTAAGAAAGGCATCATAAAAACAGAAGCAGTTCCACCACGACTCTACGGCCTACCCAAAATTCACAAACCGGAAGTGTCGCTAAGACCTATAGTGAGTGCACCTGGGCTGGAACTCTGTAACGGATAGCGATCAATATCTCTATCTCTAGTGGCGTCCCCTCTCTATCGATTTCGATAAGAGAGAAGAAGGCAGCAAGTGCCATAGCGATAGGGATAACGATCCCTATCTGTTACAGAGTTCCAGCCCTGGAGCACCAACGTACAACCTAGCGAAACATCTTGCATCGCTTCTTCAACCGCATGTAGGAAAAACTAGGTCTATAAACCTAGCAGTCCCAAGGTGGAAAAAATCTTCGGGAACTATATAATAATTAGGTGCTTTTTAGGTGCTAATAAGGGCCTCTAATTAAAAATTAGGTGCTCCTTTAGTTTTTGAGAAAATCAAAAAAAAAACTAAGGGACTGCTAGGTTTATAAAAGCTAGCAGTCCCCTATAGTAAAAAATATTTTTTTCAAATTTCTTCTTTGTATCAGAACTAGGTGCTTTTTAGGTGCTCCAAGAAAAAATAGAATTGATCAATTATTAACTGAGTTACAGATTTTTTTTTAATTATTAGGGGTCTGCTGGCTTTACTTTTACATGTTGGTGTGTCAGAATGGCAAAAAAAATTCGGGATCTATATAATAATTAGGTGCTTTTTAGGTGCTAATTAGGGCCTCTATATAAAAATTAGGTGCTCCTCTAGTTTTTGAGAAAATCAAAAAAAAAACTAAGGGATTGCTAGGTTTATGAAAGCTAGTAGTCCCCTATAGTGAATAATATTTTTCCAAAAATTTCTTTTGTATCAGAATTAGGTGCTTTTTAGGTGCTCCTAAATAGTCGAAAAAAAAAAATAGAATTGAATAGTTATTAACTGAGTTACAGATTTTTTTTTTAATTATTAGGGGACTGCTGGCTTTACGTTTACTTGTTGGTGTGTTAGAATGGCAAAAAAACTTCGGGATCTATATAATAATTAGGTGCTTTTAAGGTGCTAATTATGGCCTCTAATTAAAAATTAGGTGCTCCTCTAGTTTTTGAGAAAATCAAAAAAAACTAAGGGATTGCTAGGTTTATGAAAGCTAGTAGTCCCCTATAGTGAAAAATATTTTTTCCAAATTTCTTCTTTGTATTAGAATTAGGTGCTTTTTAGGTGCTCCTAAATAGTCCAAGAAAAAATGGAATTGATTAATTATTAACTGAGTTACAATTTTTTTCTTTAATTATTAGGGGACTGCTGGCCGAGGGGCAAACCGCTGATGGTATTTTGGTGTACACTATCATGATATTTTTGGAAATATTTTGGTATTTTTGGTATTTTTCTATAATATTTGGTATTATTTGGTATTATTTGGTATTATATGGTATTTTCTTTGGTATTATTGGTATTTTTTGGTAATATTGTGGTATTTTCTGGATGATTATTCAGTATACGCATGCGCAGCTACGTTTACTTGAAAGTTTGACGGAACTGTGGCAACGTCGCGACTCTGCCTTTTGAACTTCAAATGCCCTACAATTTAACATAAACAGAGATGAAGTAGTGTGGCCTCACGTGTTGCCGTAAAGAAAGTTGGAAGCGAGGTTAGAAAAGAATGAGATGGCCCTTTAAAGTTGAGTGGAAAGGGAGTATTCAACCTGAGGAGGTTAGATGTGGTCAATATCAAAAAACTGTATAAAGATGATTTGAAAAAAAAAAATAATCAATACCTACTTATGGCCAATCATTCGACACCTTATGTGAATTTCTGCTGTGTTACGTTCTGGTTTACAAGGAAACCAATAATCGCTTGTGGTGTGTTTATGAGAAAATAGCCTTATTCGGGTTTGAAAATAGTTTTTATTTACAATCATACATGTAATGTTGACTTTACTGACTTTTAAAAAGTTCGAAAATGTCACTTTTTTGACTTTTACTTTCGGCCCACGGGTCGAAAGTTTACTTTCGACCCGTGGGCCGAAAGTAAATGAAATTTTTAAAATTTATTGTATTTTTTGACTTTTACTTTCGGCCCACGGGTTGAAAGTAAACTTTCGATCCGTGGGCCGAAAGTAAATGAAATTGTCAATTATTGTATTTTTTAGTTTTAATTCAAATAAAAATTTCAAAATTCGAATGATTGTAAATAAAATAGTATACATACCTCGGTGAAAAGTTTCATTACTGTCTCGAGATTTTAGTTAGACCTCGGCTGTGCCTCGGTCTAACTAAAATCTCTCGACAGTAATGAAACACTTTCCACCTCGGTATGTAATATACTATTATGGAAAATAGGACGGTTCTAGAACAGAACAGAAAACAATCTCCCAGTTTATTATTGAAATTTGTGCTAGCCGAGCTATTGTCATTTTTTTTTTTCTGATTGATAAACTGTGCGATTGTTATGAACCGTTCTAGAACCGCCTTTTTTTCAAACCCGAATCAATAATTATGAGCCAACTTCTTGATTTTTCTATATTTTCAATATTTTCTTTACTTGCTTCTTTATCTATTTTCAAGATTTGTTTTTATTTTTGATTAACACTCGGATTAAAGTTTAACTGTAGGGATTTCTCTAATAATTATATCTTTATTTTCATTATAATTGCATTTGTCACAGATTTCCGCAGATTTCTACGTTCCTATTTTATTTATCTAGTCTTGCATTGTGATTGACCAAAATTTTGAAGTGTTTGGTAGGGATATATCATATATCCTGAGATCAAAACAAAAAATTGCCTCGCAGAGCGTTTTAATTTTTTTCTGTGTGTCCTGTACTTAGTCCTGATTGATTCATTTTTTAAAACAACCTATATGTCAAATTTTTGACGTGTGTAATTTATTCTTTATATCTTTTATCATCTTTTTCTGGTCCAATTCAAAACCTAGGAAATATTTCCATGGTTTCCAGGGAGGTACGTTTTTTTTCTGATCCTACGATGGGCATCCAGATGGGTTCAGGTATTGTAAGTTTACTACAGGTGATGTTCTCATTATACAGGGTGTCCCACGGTGGATGGCGTATCAGACGTTAATGGAAAACTAAAAAGCGGATAGTTTTGAAAATTTGGCAACTGAGATAAACAACCATAATTTACACTTTAAAAATATTTTTGTTAATGCGGTGTTGCTGCTTCTACTCTAAACCAGTGGCAACATCGCTATTGAAAAAAATCGGATTATGGTCAATATCTCGAAATCGAAGCCAGACAGAAAAAAACTGAGAACGTCACTGAATTCTGCTTGGAAAAGTGCTTCCAAAAGATCTTTACGGAAATGAATTATTTTCATAAACAAAAAAGTTATGGAGGCTTTACGGTATTGCTCAAAATCGAGTATCGCCCTCTAGCGGCTAAACGGTTGAAGATATCAAAATGCGGTTTGCACCAATCAAGATTTCATGAAATTTGAGCCTCAGAGTGGGGGGTCCATTTTTTTCTATCTCTAAAAATAAAGGGTGTTTCCATAAGAAAGTGTCCAATTTGGACCACCCTGTACAGTTTCGAAATAATATTTAGGAAACCCTTTCTAAAAGCTCCTTTTTAATAATGTTACCTTCTTGATAAGTTCATTTTAATGTAGGTATTGTTTTTTACA